CTATGACACCGGCGTGTGCGTTTGAGGTGACATGAAACAGATGGCTGCTCGTCAGCCGATGTAAAGGTGCAACAATGTTCGACTGTGACATGAAACACAGCCACGACGGCATTGGGAGACAGCTCACCTGGCTAACAAACAATGTTGAGACAGTGAATCCCAATTTCCTTTCTCATTTCATCCTAAATTTAACCTGCATTATTTGGCTAAATGTATGAAATAAGTGAACCAAAAGTGGGAACAGTGCCCTAATTATCTTAATTTTGCATGTAAAAAGGTGGATGCTTCCAACTCCCAATACTCTTTATGACTACTACTTTATTTTAATTTCAGTGTATCTTACGATTCTTATTAACAACAATGGTAGTATATGGAAAAAGTAGGGGATAATAATTTAGACATAAATAAAAGTCTTGATATTTGTTATTGTTTTGAATTTATATCCTTATTAAAAATCCTAAAAGATTAATTGGAAAAAAATGGAAACTTGATATTTGCAATTGTTTTAATGTAAATGTGAACAATTTTACAAACTTTAATAGAAATAATAATATGTAAAATTCTTCATGTGACTGCTGATAGTACTACTACTATTACTACCACTCGTAATAATAATAATAATAATAACAATTACAATAATAAAAATAATACTGACAAAATGATTTCTTTTTTCCATGAGATAATATATCCTAACGTCATCTTCAAGTGGTCACCCTTTTCGTTTTGTTGCTTTTATTTCTAAATCCGGGTTAAGCATGTTATTTTTTCAGATTGACGATTAAGATCTTATCATTATTATTAATATTATTATTTTTGTTTTTACAAAATCATGTTCCTAAATTCCTCTGTTTTTGCCTTTACATGTTGCACTATTTTATTTTAAGTATTTGAGGCACAGTTACCTATGAAATGCGCCATATAAAATAAGATGTCTTGTCTTGCCTTTTTCAGTTTCAAACCCAATGAAACACTGCTCTCTACTGACCAAACGGACTCCAAAAAACCCCCAAAAAGCAAAGAAAACCATTTTTATCTATTTCGGTCTAATCGAGCTTCCGTAGTGTCGTTGGCGCCTCTACTGACCAAACGGACCCAAAAAAAACCCCCCAAAAAGCAAAGAAAACCATTCATATCTGTTTCGGTCTAATCGAGCTTCCGTAGTGTCGTTGGCGATTTACTTCCGCTTCCCGTCCTGCTCCGCTGCACTCCTCATCCCAGCCAGCATGGACTGCTGCTTCAAACCCCCGAAGTAGATTTGCATGTAGTTGTCATTCGTTTTTTTCAAGGAGCGCAACCACTTGAATCTACTTTCTTATTTCGAGAGAGCTGGGACGAGACAGCCTAGGATGGACCTGCAAAAATCGCTCAATTAATCATATAAATGTTAAGTCAAAGTTACATCTTTTGTCCAAAAAAAGGCTGAGGTGTCAACTACAGGGTTCACGAACAGCCTAATTATATTAGCACTTGAAGCGGGTCAGATCAGTAAAATCACAGCAGGCGCCCCCTTTATTTTAATGCTAAACTTTGTGTTTAAAGGCCTCAGAACAACCTCAGATTTCATAAGAAGCATCTCCTTTTCAATATCAGCATAATGTCCACATATATTCTCCCAAAATACCTAAACTCGCATACCCCGCATAAACACTTGAACATACAGGTCTACATCGACGGCCACGTTTGACCACATGGTTTTGTTTGTATTTTCCAGACAAGGCTCCTCTGTCCAAAGGCCTCCTGCTGGTGCTGAGCGGCTTGACGGTGATGCTCAGCCTGCTGCCGCAGTACCAGCACATGTTTGAGTACAACCTGCAAGCGGTCAGCCACCAACTGCAGGTATTGCTTGAGTCCAAGTGTGAAAAGTATCTGACACGACGCATGCGGTAATTCAGTATCGAAAGTATTTTTCCGATATCTTATCATCACTCCTTCACCAGTCACACAAAACTATATCCAACTTGAAAGATTATTCAGGGAGGTGCGGAGGGACAATATGAACGTTGGAAAACTGCCTAAAAATATGGATGTGGTGTGGTAGGTGGGGCGGTTGCTGTGCGGCAGGCTGGTGTGTCTGGACGTGAAAGACTCCTTCTGCAGCGGCATGCTCATCTACAACTTCCGAATCTTTGAGAGGAGGTTCGGCTCCAGGAAGTTTGCCGTGAGTACCAATGATGATCAGACTTTGGCGGCATGTTGCGTTCACATTAGATAGCTTTGGAGACCGGTTACCGGTTGGAGCTCATTTGGGCCAATTTCCCCGTTTGGAGTTTGCTAAATTTTGCCCAAAATGGGTGCTACAAGCCAAAATGGATGATTTCAACTTTGGGCATAGTTGCTGTTGAAAATGACAATATTGACATGGCTGTTTGGGTCTTGAATGAAGATGGGGGTAACATTACGCGGTTACCAGTGGGTCAGAGACGCCTTGCTCAAAACGTACGTGACTTCCTACTTGTCTGCTACAAGTTACGTTTTCAAGTAAAAAGAAGATATGGCATCCATTGACCAAAAAAAAGACAAATTGGTTCACTTCTCCTGTCAAATTTAGATCAATCAAAATTCCATATTGTCATTTCAGTAATAAAACCAAATTAAAACACTCAGCTTCCATCCTTCACTCCAGTGGTTGGGATGTCCAAAACGTTATATGCCAAACTGCGAGCTACTGTTGGCCACAACTCATGCCGAGACACTCAAAAGCCGACTAACCCGCCAAGCCAAATGGAACTCCTGACGTTGTGTTTTGCGTGTCTTGTTGTTCAGTCCTTCCTGTTGGGTACCTGGTGCGTCTCCGCACTGCTGGACTTGCTGTTGGCTCAGGTTGTCTCTTTCCTGTTCGACGACAAGGTGGAGGAGTTGCCCGCAGGGCTGTGAGTAGCGTTGACGATGGCGATCCTGAAAAAAAAAAAAAAAAAAAAGTTTTCTCAAATTTGATAGTTGACTTCCACAGGCTGGCCCCGGTCTTCGCCCTCTTTGTGCCTTTCTATTCGTCCATTCCGAGGGTGCCCGTCACCAAGGTGCTGGGCCTCATCAGTATCACCAACAAAACCTTGGTCTACATCGTCGGACTGCAGGTACGGTTCTGTTCGGCTCCCGCGGCTTTTTGGCGCGTCGAATGATGACTCTCGCACCCTCTTTCCCGGTGTGTCCACGTAGCTGTTGACGTCCAGTCCCTTCATGTGGCTCCTGGCGCTCAGCGGGCTGGTGAGTCACGGCACGAGGAAAGACAGTGGACCCTCAGAAATCAAGCGGGGCAGCCATTGAACGGCTGAAAATCTGGTCCAAGAGTCCCGAATCGTTACACTTTTAACCGTTAGACGTTACAAATTTCAGCAAAAGTCTCTCGATGTTTCTGCGGGTTTTCACGAAAATACTCCAAAGAATTATCAAACACTTTAGTCAGCCTTTTTCTCGATCCTGAGAGTCCACAGGTTGAAACTGAACCCGTGCAAGAAAATGTCATCACACCATCGTATGACACAACAGTCTTGATTTATATCCTGGATGTATTTTAGGTCTCGGGCGGTTTGTATCACTCCAACGTCCTCTGGCTGCAGAACTTTCTCTTCGTGCCCGCTCGGCTGTGTGCCGTCGCACACTACCTCCTGGAGCCCCTCTTCTCCAGTGAGTCCGATACAGCGCCCTCACGGTTTCCGCCGCGGCGCTGTACGAACATGGCCGCGTTTTGTTTATGTGACCCTCAAAGGTTCTCAACCGAGCGGCGAGGCGCCTCTGGGGATGGGCGCCACGCTGGACATCCAGAGGCAACAGCGGATGGACCAACTGGATCAACAGCTGCTGCTGGCCCAGTTCAACGAGGCCCGCGCAAACTCCAGACATCGAGCACAAGTACGGCCACTTCCTCTGTAGCCTTATCCTCTGAACCAAAGTTGCATGTTTTTGGGAGCTTGCCCTCATTTATTGAAAGTTTAAAACCATATCTAAATGTTTTCCTTCTTGTCTCTTGCTGCAGTGGAGCAGGTTGTTCCCCTCCCTGAGACGCAGGAGACCGGCGCCGCCGCAGCCTCAGTCTCAGACGCAGCCCTCGGCTCCCCCGCTGCCATCCGACAACTCGATTGCCGAGGAGCAGGTGCAGCCGCGTTTGCCCGTCTTTCATACCAAAAAGTCTCACAAGGGAAAGGAATTTGGTTTTCTCGTCTGCGACATGCTTTTGTCAACATATCCGAGGGTCAGGAATGAAATGACTCTTTCCGCCCTATTTCTCGTTTTGCTGAAATTAGCGGAATATGACGGGGGCGTTCCTGTCTCATGCAAATGAGCCACCGGTCTCCCGGCCCTGCTTTTTGGCCAACACAGAGTACGGCTTTCGTGACGACACTGACTCAGGGCGAAGCCACCCCATGATGACATCCCATTAAAGCACCAATTGTATTTTCATATGTGGTGGCAGCAGTTAATTATGTGGTGCTTGCGGCTGTTGTTTTGGTCTAAAAGTGCAAGTTAAAAGCATCGATAGGAATTTTCCCCCATGGTGGCAGCACTTCATCACCAAGCATTTGTGCGGATTTGCGTATGAGGCGCGTACAATTGACACATCGTTAAGCCCGACATTCAAAAGGAAATATGGCAAAGGACACAGGTCTTGTCTAGCCCTACATAGTCACAAGGTGGGGCTAAAGAACTTGGATCATAAAGCATGATGTGCTATATGTATATATTCAAATTAGGACGTGACAAATTCTAACGTCGATGCAGTATGCCGCCATGATATTTCTCTCATTGCATCCGCCGCGTGTGTTGTCTCCGGCAGGTCGCCAGGTTAGTGGAAATGGGCTTCTCCCGGCTGGACGCCCTCGAGGCCCTCCGAGTGTCCAACAATGACATCAACATGGCCACCAACTTCCTCCTGCAGCACTGAGAGCCCCGAGAGCGGGACGAGAACCAAACCGAAGCGGCGCAGCCGGAAACAAAAAGGCAGAGACGAGTTTGGGGGAAAAAAAAAAGATGGTGGAAGAAGACGTATTGTGTATTGTGCTTTTGCAGGTAATGTGAAGGCTGCGTACGGCTGATCGCGCCTCGAAAGGAACAGTTGCAACCGACTGGGGAGGTTTGAAGCATAAAGTTGGACGTCATGGGGACAAATGTACAAACGGCAAGCCTCATGTTACAAGGGGAAAAAAAAAATCACTGGACAATGTGATCAAACTAGCCTAAAATGTCCATCATTTTTACAGAGGGTCCTCAGTTCACGACAGTCCCGACACACAAACTTAGGAGCGAACGCACAGCGCGCAGGGAACAAATCTTTGCAGCGTCACGTCAATGTTTGAGGGGGACAGGGACCGAGCCCTGCCACGAAAAGCAAAAATCAAAAGTTTTTGTCGCCTTCCGGAATCGCCTGTGGAAGTCAAAGCACTTTGACGCTCCTCAAGTCATTTCGACATAGTTCCTTGGCACCAAGATACCAAAAAGCACGAATCATTTGTTAGGCAGGCCTTTGGCCTGAGCACAAAAGAAGCCAAATTTGTTTTTCGAGGCATAACTGAGCACGAAAAAACGCCGAAAAGCTTGAACCCTACGTTTTTCGGCGAACAACTTTTCATTGTAGGTGTAGCAACAAGAAGGGGCGCTTGGTGACCGCTGCAATTCTGTTTGTCATTTCATCGTGTTGTTTTGATGGCCAAGAGTGTTTTTCATCCAAATCTTACTTGTATTCCTGACATAAGTACTGCATTAGTGGAGCTTCGTCGAGGATCGGCCCGTTGCATCGTTACTGTAGGAGTGAAGCTCAGTCCCAAACCGAGAACCCCCCACGGCCCCCGTGCACTCCAATGTAACCAGTGACCTTCATGACTCTGCTGACCGTATGCAAAATATCAGATCCTCCAGGCAGATGCGATGCACTGTCTATTTTTATACAGTTTTCATCTCACGCCGAATTAAAAAAAAAAAAGCTTTGTTTTTAATATGCACTTGCTCATATGACGTGTCTATAAAATGATTGTTTTGTTTTTGTTTTGTCTTTGAACAAGTCAGCGAGTGCAACAGAAGGCAGCAAAGCTTTGCGAGGACGCATGTTCATTCCGTCTTACAGGTTAGGTGGGTCATCTCAGGTGAGACGCCCCCACCCCTACTCCCACCCCATTGGACACAATTTTAGCTACACTTGCACAAAAGATTCTGTCTTCATGATGAAAAAAAATCTGTTTTGTGGTTGTTTATTTTATCACGTTTTTGTATATCTGTACTGCATCATAGTAAGAAAATATATTTTTTCTAAAACCTCCTACTATGATGCAGTGCAATGCAAAAACCACCGCAAACAACCGCATTATTCAACAAAGATTTTTTTTCCCCCCTCCCACTTTTTTGTCATCAATCTTTTCTTCTGTGAAGGCAGCTCTTGTATCACATTTAATTGCAAGTGTCCCTCAAGTTGTGGCCAGTTGGTCTTGATGAACTTGGTGTATTTATTTGCATATGTTCCAAAGCCCACTTTGAAACAGAACAAATCCGAAATGTTTATTTATTATGCGGTAAATACGACAGAGGCTATACGCACATACTGCAATGTGTGCATCCTGTAAATGTTCAAAAAAGTGGCGGCCGTTAGGTGCTGTATTCAGTCAAGGGTACCAGTTCTGTACTTTTCTGCAAAAAAAAAAAAAACAAAAATAAAAATCTATTGCTTCTACAGTATGTGACCACACTGAGCGACGCCGATGATTTGCTGTCAGAGTGACGAAAAATTATGTGGAGTAGTTGCGTGGATTGACAATGTAACAGATCTAATTTTTATTTATGAAATAAATCAACTTGCTGATTGAACTAGTCTTGGCGTGACTTTCACCAAGTTACAGACATTTCTGCTCTAGGCAAAAAAAGCACACGCATGTTTGTCTTTAATGCAGAAGTAAAACGTCATACTTTTAGCATTTTTTTTTTTTTTTTTGTTACGGGCTTAATTAGCGGTACTCAAATTGGTTTGCAGAATACTTACAGTACTGTAAAAATACTTCCCAGGTCCACGCCTTTAAAATATGTTCTTAACTTGCCTAATTCCTGCATTCACCTTTATCCGGGACTACGTGAAAATATAATGGCTTCTTTCTTACCCCGTGGTACCGCAAAACAAACTTAACGTGTTCACATCAGTGCGATGTCTTCATTTGGACGCCAGATGGCGCGCTTGGCTCACAAAATATCCCATTCACCCCATAAGCGTACACACAAATTGAGCTTAGCTTGTTCTAGTTTTCAAAAAAAGGTTACATTTGAGCCAGCTCTGGTTCCTGGCCTCTTGATCAAAGGTTATATTAGGCACACAATAATAATAAACCTAGTGTGAAGGGAACTTGATTTATTTAGCACATTTCGAACACAAGGCAACTCAAAGTGCTTCACACAACCAAAAGCACAATACATCAAAACATGAACAGTAACACTGAAGACATTCACAAAGCGAAGACGACAAAAGTAGTTTATTAAAATTACGAGAAGAGTCTACATTCATTCTATTTAAGCACATTTATAACCAAAAGCTTGAAAAAGATTTAAAAGCAAAGGAAATAAATAAAAAGTGGCCTTCCGAAATTTACAAAGAAGCCAATAGATGTCGCTATCGAGTCAGCTATTGTTGCCGGGTTACTGTGTGCCACTCCCATCGACTCCATCAATGACACTGAGCAGACATTTCCATCCGCCTCCGTCCTCCACGGAGGTTCCACTGTGTCACATTTAGTGGGGAGGGAAAGCGCCATTGTTGGTAAGTGTGCGCGGTATTCCGCACCGCCGGCTGTTTGACTGTTTTCACGGCAGCCATTTTGACATGGGACGGATACGTTCCTGAGCCTCCATTCAACTTATGGGCAGCCCGCAGTTCATGTTTAGCACCTCTGACTAATTTCTCCCAGACCAATATTGAAGTTTGTTCGATTGTAAATAAATATGTGGTCCATGTACAAACCAAAATCCAATGAAGCACGAACAAACACAGCCTCATCCCATCACAGATGCTGGATTTCGAGCTTTGCGTCCATAACGGTCCGGATGGTTCTTTTGCTCCGAGGACACGACATCCACAATTTCCCAAAACATTTTGAAATGTGCACTCGTCAGACCACATAACACGATTCCGTTTTGCATCAGTCCATCTTGGATGAGCTCGGGCCCAGAGAAGCCGGTGTGTGTATGTGTGTGAGCTACCTTTGAGAACACAAGCTTCCAAAGGCTTTCAAATTAGTGTCACTTTTCATTTTAATTAAAAAAAAAAACAGTGATGATAATTTGTGTCTTTTGTGTTGAAGGGGTTTTTAATTAAATGACAATGAAAGCAAACATATCCAAAGAAGGCCCACCTCTTCTGTGAAATGAAATACCGTGTTTAATTTCAGATTTTGATGTTAACCAGAGCAACATGAAACATGGATGGAAGTCTTAGATGACTGACCAGTATTTCAAAGATTATGTCGTCATTTAAGAAGGAAGTATGTGAATCACAACTTTGACGCTTTTTTCCACTCAACTTAGTACCTTGGACCTGTAAAAAAACGCTCCTCCGACATTCCATACACGCACCCGACTGTATGTCTCAATCTGAGCAGCCACAGTGGCCCAGACGACGACGACAACGCCGCCGCTCTCGTCCCTCGTTGCCGGCTCTGTTGCCATGGTGAGCGTGTGCCATGGCAACGCCGTATGCGAGAGCCGCCCGTCCTCACTCTCGTCCTGTTTGTGTGATCGTTTTGTACGACTTGCGGCGATCGGCGGATGAGGCCCACACTCCGAGGCTTGAATTGTCACAAGTATGAGCGGAATGGCGAACAATGTCACATCTGTTCTCCCGCCTCGCATGAAGCCGTAGTTACATAAGAGGGGAATTCAAAAATGCCTCCCTCCGTTATGCTAATGCTCGTAACTAGTGGCCACACGTCCCGAAGAACATATAGGAATGTTGCCGTCCCGTTTAAGCGAGCCGCGTGCCTTCAGGCGGTGTGCATGCTTGTGGTTCGTTGTAATTAGGGCTCAGATGGATTCATTTGAGGAATTGTGGCTTTAATTTTACGCTCAACTTGTTTTTTCAGTTCTTCATGAAAGTTTGCTGGTGCTCTAATTGTTTTTTGTTTTTTTCTCCCATCTGACAGGAGGTCCGTGCCCGGACCTGCTGCAAGAAACTGAAACCTTAAACCGCTTTAAGGAAAGCAGGGGAGTGCAGTACCGTGGTAGAAAAAGAACATGACGAGTAAGACACCATCACTCGACTAGTGTGCCCTCGTTGTTGGTTTCGTGAGATGAATTGTCCTTGCTAATGAGGACAAAGAGTGCACGAGAACAGGACCAGTTAATGGGCCTGCTGGATGATGTGGAATCAATGCTTGACTGGCTTTGGAAAGACTTTCATAAGTTGTAATACATCCACTTTTATACATTCAAAAGTGAAAACTCATCTTATCACTTTCACTTGAACTGACATGTGCGTGTGTGTGTGTTCGTGTGTGTGTGTGTTACCTCAGGTCATCACATTAATACGCACAAGAACGTGTGCATAAAAATAAACACACCCACACACACACGCTTGCTATGGTGTGTGTGAAGTTAGAACGGAAATGAACCTCGGCAAAAGGTCAGGCATCCCTGGGAGATTCTTGAGAGGGTGGCCCTGGGTAGCGCATCGAGGCACCAAGCAGAGGTTTCATGGCAGGTGGTGGGAAGGAGGGGGGTCCCGGTTCTGGCTCCAGTCTGGTCATCGAAGCACGTTTCAAGAGTCTGCGGCGTGTTTGTGTGCAAAGGACAGCACCTCTGATTTGGTTTGCTCTTTAAAAGCACCCCCTCCCCTCCCAAAAAAAAAACTGACTGAGCTGTATTTTTTTTTAGGAATTTTTTTTAATGGGTTTTAGGCAAAAGACACAAAAACTGTGGCGTCGTATCCGTGACTTTCAGTGCCGTGGCCTCGTTAGTCTTCATGTGAATACGTTAGCTCCTTGTGTTGTCATTTTGAATTGTGTGTTTGTTTTTCCCACATGAAAGTGCATCTACAAGCGTCCCTCGTGCTCTAACTCAAAGTTTGGCTCCCAACACCAAGCGTAAATAAACTTTTTATTTTAAATGGCCCAAGCGACAGCTCAGAACGCGGTTCTTACTGCCATGCAGTGGCCCCTTGGGCATTCACCTGAGGGGGGCATCCACAGCCGCCCGTCAGCATCCCTTTGATGGGAAAAAAAAAAAAAAATCAAATGAAGAGCTAAATTTTTTGCCATGCAATACACCAGACGCATGTCATCTGGAAAAATCTTCCAGGCCTCATGTTGCAAAACACAAAGACATCGGCCGCCCCTCCTTTTTGGTGGGTGCTGATTCACAACGGTCAGGAACCTGCCAGCTCTGGTTGCTCGTCTCCATGGAGACAAGGGTGGGAAAAGCCAGTGATGATGTTGCTGGGAGAAAAGCGCTCCCGCGTGTCATCCGCGTGTCTGCATGTGCGTGTGTGCACGCTACGTAACAAGGATGGAGCTCGCGAGAGAGAGAAAGACAGAAACCGCACATTCGGTTGTCCGTGGCAACGCTTGACCAGATTATTCTTGGCTCGAGATCATTACATTGTCGAATCTATAAAGAGAAATCGGACAGGAATGATATGCAACGCTGTCTTTGTCATTCATGGACAGTTGCAGCTTGTGACTCTTCCATGTTGAACACTTTGAATGTTCTTAATCCTATTTTAAGCATTTTTTTTTGGGGTCACGGTCACATCACATTTGGGGAAGCATGTTGATCTAGCATGTCTGACAGTTTTGAGGTTCAATTCTTGAAGCCGTGGTGCTTGTGTGGATTTTTTTTTGTAGGTACCCCCCACCCCCCATTCCAAAAACATGCCACTTAGGTTCAAGATTTGCACATGTTTCTGTCCCGGTGTAAATTTTCGGGTTGCTTCACATGACTACCCTAAAGCTCACTCAAGAGCATCCCTTGGGACCTTCACCTTAATGACTTGAAAGGAGGCTCTTATGGAAATGTGCATTTTATTTCTTGGCGTTTATACAAGCAGTTGGGTGTCTGGAGGAACGAGCCACCCATTCACTCACTCACTGCCACTGACGGCTATAGACGTCGAAAATCAATTTTAACTTGGGCTGGCAGGAAAAAATACATTTTTACCCAGCTGCGTCAATCAAACGACCGTTTTTCTTTTGTGAACTGCCTCTTGATGCAAATGTCTGTGAGTGACGACCCCCTTCTGCATTTCTGCTCCATTGTGATGCAGCGATTGTAACTGCCCAGCGTTTCTCCGAACCATGACAAGACCGAGATCCAGAGCGACTTTCAAGCAACAGCTTGCCGAAACATCTCCATCTCCTACAGGCGCAACTACCTTGCTATCATGTTAAGGGCCCAAGGTAAGCAGAGCTGCATTGTGTTTTTGATGGAGGTTTGCGTCATGTTTAAAATTGCTGCATCCATGAGTGAAAATACTTTGGTTTTTCACTTTTTTTTTTGCCCACGTCAGGCCACTTTAGTCTCCGCCCCCGATTGTCATGGTAACGAAAGTCAGACTCGCCATCGGCCGAATAGTTTCCGTTGGCGAGTTGCTTCATTGATTCTTGTTTCCAGTCGACGATCGGCCCCGCCTGGTGGTCTCCCACCTGCACGTGCGTCTGACCTTTGCTTCCTTACTGCCGCAACTTGTTCATCTTCATGGGTCCACTTGAGTTATGTCCCGTCCGACGTCGGTGTTCTGTCACTATGACTTAAACTCGATCACATGCAAATGAAATGATCATGTCACGACAGTTTTGCCGATCGCTTTTCGACTCGCTTGAAATCCCATCAAA